GAGAGTTGCTGGTGCAGCCTGAGGTACAGTATTGAACTGCAGAAGTGGAACCAAGATGTGTCATGAGGGTTCATGGAGGCTGGCGCATATCGGATGCCAATGTCAATGGATGTAGGGTGCATGTGGCCAGTGCTCGAGCAGTACGCCCTGAGATGTTGCTGTTCAGTGTCCAACATGGTGGCCCTTCAGAGCAAGCAGCGAGCTGAATTCACCGGGCACCTGTTGTCAGATCCATGTTGAGTTTTATTGACGTGTAGCTTGTCTGCGAACTGAATATTAGTGAGGCAAGTTGGGCCATCAGTAAGATGTTTTAATGAGCAATGGACCCCCTTAACTGGCACCCTGCCGCTGCTTCGCAAGAAACCCGTCATGCTGCATAAAGGATGGCGCCAGTATCGAGATGGGCCTTGCTGTATTTCTTCTCTGATTTTACCACAAAATTCACTGTATCCCTTTAAGATTCCAGCCACCAGATTTTAGACCTTTCTAATCTGTTGAATGGGATTGTTAGGAGCAGACAACTTTTCACAAGAAAGGTATAACCCTGACCGAGCTGATCTCCCAGCCTTGGGGACACTTTAATGTTGAAATCAGACACCCTGGCCTGGACCACGCTGCATCACCAAAGTGGGACTGACTGCGCCTTCACTCTCAGAGTCTGGAACCCAAGAGACATTCTCAGGACCTCCTTGGCTGTCACCTGGCCTTTGGGACCAGGTGGTGACCTTTGCTTCTATTGATGGCCATGATGAGCAATAAGTTGGAGAATGTTGTTTCTCTTATTTGCATTTAAGGGTGAGTGCATTGTCTGCTCTTGGCCTGGAAAGCAGGAAAGAGTGAGGTTACACACCAAAGAAATGCATCCGATGAGGCATGCCCCGGCCAATCTTCAGCTCTTGCCCACTTTGGATGACCAGGAGAAGGGCTTGATTGGCAGAAATTCCAGTCCATTTCTTAAGGCAAATAATTTTGTTTTCTCTGCAGCAGTGTAACTGGGAAACTATTTAGTGAACAAGTAACACCACAGGGGATGCAATGTCACAATGCACAATGAGAAGCTGAATGATCATAACACTCCGAAGGAAATCAAAATCATCACAATAATGTCCAGGAAGACAATAAGCTCACAGTGCTGCACAGGGAAAGCAATTGCTCCAGAAAACAAACAGAAGAAAATATCAGAACAGAAAAATAGTAATGTGGTATTACTGTACAGGAAATCAACAGCAGCCACAATACTGCACTGGCAGGAAGCAATGACATTTCAGCTGGAGAGGAGCTCAAGGTTTTGATTAAACAAAGCTGATGAGGAAACCCAGCACAGAAATTCTATTTTAGAAAGTTATTTTTGGTTTGGGGGAATTTAAAGTAAAAATTGAAACAACTGATACTAACTAATGATCAGTAACAAGGGCACATTAGATCAGAACTGTTTGCTCAGGTTACAAAGGGAATCGGTCAACTAAACTGCACAGGAGAGTAACAAGGTAATGTTGCGTGCAGAGGGGAAGCCAAGTGAGACAGACTTTCCAGAAACACTTCTTTGTTTCTGTGCCGATATCTTGAAAGCTTCAATCTCACATTACTTCTTCACTCACCAGTACCGTGTGTCACATTAAAGTGTCCCAGTGGCTCCCAGCTGACTGGGGAGAGATCTGTTAAACAGTCCATGAAATATTCGATAGTAAGAAGCTACTCATTTAACCATCTCCAGAACTATGGTCAGCTGGGGCTTTTTAATGGTGCTTTCAACACGGTGACAAAATGGATTGAATTTAATTAGTTCAATAAAGGGTCTACGTAACAAAACTCAACACCAGCAGATGCAAGAACTTGGCCAGCTATCATCTTATAATGGTGGAATGAAAAACCATGCAATGAACTTTCTCAGGGGCCTTCAGGAATCCGAAACTAGGGCCAAATGGGGATCCTGAAGCTGCACTGACCAGCAACAGGTCTGGCACAGGGATATTTCTTTGACCTCACCATTTAAGTAAGGATGGTAGGTGGGCTCCACATTCTGAGGGCCCAAGCAGGAGGTCGTCATCTCTTAACCCTTACTGGCTCCACCAGGAGAACTGAACATGGCTGAAGCAGGTCGAAGACCTGAACCACAACCTGCAGGTTATCTCAGAAGGGCATGTTTCTAACACATTCAAAGTGACTGAACAGGCTGGCCGCTTGAGAGGGGAGAGCCCTCCAAATGTTTTTGATTTTGATTCTTTTTTTGTCACCTGTACCGAAATACAGCAAAAAGCTTTGTTTATGAACAGTCCAAGCAGATCACAGCAAGCAAAGGATGTACAGATTACAAAGACTTAGAGGTGCACAGGCTACAATGCAGTTTACATTATTTGAGGCTAGAGTCCATTCTACAGTCTGATAACGGCCAGAAAGAAACGGTTTCTGAACCTGCTTGTGTGTGTGTTCAGGCTTCTGTATCTTCTGCCTGACAGAATTGGTCAGCGAGCCAACCAACCACAACATCCACAACCCGAGCTAAAAATCTACTCCAAAACCTTACAGAAGAGGTTGTAGGAGATCATTACCATGGTGCGATGGGTCTTTGATGATGTTGGCCGCCTTTCCGCAGCTGCGAGCCGTGTAAATGGAGTCCATGGATGGAAGGTTGGCTTCAGTGATGGTCTGGGCTGTGCGCACCACCTTCTGTAGTTTCTTACGGTCCTGGGCAGAACAGTTGCCATACCAGGCTGTTATGCACATAGACAGTTTGCTTTCAATGGTGCATCTGTAGAAGTTAGTGAGGGACCTTATGGACAGGCCAAATTTCCTGAGCCGCCTGAGGAAGAAGAGGCTTTGTTGTGCCTTCTTGACTGTCACATCTACGTGGGACAGGACAGGTCGTTGGTTATGATCTCTCTGAGGAACTGGACACTCTCCACCCTCTCATCCTCAGTTCCATTGATGTAAATGGGGGTATGTTTTCCTCCTGTCCTTCTGAAGTCAATGATCAGTTCTTTAGTTTTGCCGACATTGAGAGACAGATTGTTTTCATTACATTGTGTCACCAAGCTGTCTGTCTCCCGTCTGTATCTTGACTTGTTGTTGTTAGATATCTGTCCCACTTGGGTGGTGTCGTCAGCAAACTTGTAGATAGCACTCGTTTGTAATTTAGCAACACAGTCGTGAGTGTACAGGGAGTACGGTAGGGGCTGAGGACACATCCTTGGGGGGGCTCCAGTGTTGAGTGTTATTGTGGAGGAGGTGCAGTTACCTATTCTCACTGATTGTGGCCTATGGGTCTGAAAGCTGAGGAACCAGTTGCAGAGGGTGGAGCCAAGACAAAGGTCATGCAGTTTTGAGATCAGTCTGGAGGGGATAATGGTGTTGAAGGCGGAGCTGTAGTCAACGAGCAGGAGTCTGACATAGGTACCTTTGTTGCCAAGATGTTCCGGGGATGAGTGCAGGGCTAAGGATATGGCATCCTCTGTAGACCTGTTATGTTGGTAAGCAAACTGTAGGGGATTGAGGCAGAATGGGAGACTGGAGCTGATGTGGGCCATGACCAGCCTATTGAAGCACTTCATGATTATCGAAGTCAGAGCTATTGGGCGGTAGTCATTAAGGCACGTTGCATGTGTTTTCTTAGGTACGGGGATGATGGTGGTCTTCTTGAAGCAGGTGAGGCTTCGGCTTGTAGGAGGGAGGGGTTGAAGATGTCGGTGAATACCTCCATCAGCAGGTCCGCACAGGATCTGAGTGTTCGGATGGGAACACCGTCGGGGCCTATCAGTTTGCTTGGGTTGACTCCCAGGAAGACTGATTCGACTTCTGAAGCAGTGACAGAAGCAACAGGTGTGTCTGGGGCTGTCGGGGCAGGTGTCACCACGCCGGTGGTATTCAGCTCCCTAATGGCCCACTGGGGCTGTGGGCACCTCTCTTTTCTGCCCACAACCTCCTCTTTGGGGCATGGAGCATCCGGCCCTAATGCCCTTAATGTGGGAAAGATTATCAGTATGGCCAGACTTTTAAGAAACTTTTAGAAACCAGGAATAGGTAACCAAAATAAATTGACACAAAAATGAAGTGTAAGAGGGAAAATTCAAGAATTATGAAAAATGGAAATTAAAAAAGTGGAAATATTAGTTAAAGCAATCATTGGCTCCCTAATGATGAGCGTGCTTTACTAATAACCAGAAAAAAAAAGGAAATGGTAGAGGCTTGAGTAAATATTTTTTACCTGCTTTCACAATAGGAGAAAGAAAAAAAGAGCTCAAGAGCAGTTAAAAAAAAATCAAAAGGTAAAAAGGGAGAAATATAAAACAATGATGAGAAAGATACTGCAAAATCTAATAGCATAAAAGCTGACAAATCTCCTGATGCTAATGCCCTGCATCCTAGGGTCTTAAAATAAGTGGTGGTTGAGACAACGATGCATTGTTTTGCAAACTTCCAAAACTCCCTAGATTCTGCCAAGTTCCCAAGATTTGGAAATAGCAAATGGAATGCCTCCTTTTCCAAAAGGGGAGACAGAGAAAACAAGAAATGATTGGCCAGTTAGCCAAGGACAATGTCAAAAGCACTCTAGTTAGGTAGTAGCATGACATTTAGACTATCATAATACAAACGGGAAGAGGCAACATGGTTTTGTGAAAGGGAAATCGTGCTTAACAAAATTTTTAGAGCTCTTTGAGGGTGTAACATCATGGCAGACCAACGGGAATAAGAAAAAGGTATTGTTTTTGGATTTCTTAAGGCATTTGATAAAGTTGAAGAGGTTACTATATAAGGTAAGAACTCTTGGTGTTGGATAGTGAATATTCGCATGGATAAAGGACTAGCTAATCAACAGGAAACTGAGTCAGGATAGACAAACTGACTGTACCGCAGCCAGATGTGGATTTTTATTAATGTTGTTCTCATTTTGGCTAATAGACAACTAGCTGCTTTGACTATAACTTTCTTCTCCTAATATGCCAACTTCAGGCCCTTATTCCACATACTATATCAAGAATATTTGAGTCAAAACAAGCACCTACTTTGGACGATAGTTCCTGGATAGAGGCAGCGGGATTTCTGACTCCAATAAGCACACACCCTGGTAGATGGCGGCAGTAACTGTGTTGAGGCTGGTCTGACATCAAGTACCTGTGGGTAATTTTTTTATTTTATAAATAAGCTCACTAAGTAACATTGATAATGCATCATATTGCAGAAGTCTCTCACGAAACTGAACCTTAAAAATAAATGATAGGAATAAGGCTTTAATTCCAAATTGAGTTATCAAGTTCTCATGGTAAAACTCAAATCCCCATTTAATTAAAAAGAATCCTTCAATTTAGTAATGTGTACTGTCCTCGGTGGACACTCACATTTCCTCTCCCCGCTGCCATTGAACAAATACTTTAAAAACAATTTTTATTGCTGGTTTCCACCCTGTGGATTCAACAATGAATTGTGGAATAATGAAGTGTAGAAGAAGACCATTCAGCCCAGCATGCCTGTGTCAGCTCTCTGAAACAGCTATCCAATTGGTCACAGACCTGTGCCCTCTCCTCATAGCTGTTTAACAAATTCCTTTTCAAGTATTTCTTCAATGCCCTTTTGAAAACTATTGAATGTGCTTTTCTACACTTGTGGCCAATGCATTTCATTTAGTCCCTCATCTGCTCCTGGTTTCTTTACCAAGTAGATCTCTGCAAAATGAAGATAGGTCAAAAATGTGAAATATTCCAAAATTAAACCAGATCAACCTGCCTTGGCATCATCCTTTACAGTACCCTCAACCTTCCATACCAGGCTCTATGTTGTAAGCTAATCACATTCTAATATCACCTATAAATTATCTCAATAGATATCACAGACTAAAGCTACAGGTTCTTCATTTTTCTTATGGTGTATAAAGTATTTATAATCTTGTCTGACCATTCATGAGAAGACTGGACAAGATTTGAACTGTAGGCAGAGGGAAATAGTTACAAAAGGAACTCACCGCTTCCTGTAGCAGTTGCTCCAGGGAATAGATTCTCTGCCGGTTTCCTCTTTCTCCTTCAATCACAACACTGTAACTGTACAATGGAAAGACCAGTTACTGACAAATATATCCATGCATGGAAATATTTATGAATTCTGTAATTGCATAGGACATTACAGTTGACACTGAGCAGCCTTTCAAATGGTTTTCTTGGTTGGAGGAATAGAAGAAAACTCCTGGGAGTGTTAGCATTTTCAGCAAAGTAGAATGCAGCCATGTCAAATGTACAAATACCCCACTATCAGTTGTAGTTGGTAAGTCACTTGATATGCCTGTTCCAGGGCAGTGAAAAAAAACGCTTGATGTGTAGGTCTCGTGAACTGCTGTTGGATTCAGAAGCCTCTGAATAAAGAATACTTTGGGGGTGAAAAAAGGCGAGGGAGGACAGTGCAAGCATGCTGGTAGAATCATTCTGCATAAAGCCAATGTATCAATGAGAAGGCATGATATGACTGGTGTGTTTCAGCAGTAGGTTGGGGGAAATGCTGAGTGATGAGTGTATGTGTGCTTTGTGATTACAGAAACTTAGCATAATCTGAAAAGACAATGGCTCAAAAGTTGATGGCACCATGCTGTTTCTCAGACGCAAGATGGTGTCTACATATGTAATGCGCCAAATGGCCTAATTTTTCTCCTGTGTCTTGTGATCTAATATGGGGGTGGGCTGATATGATAGAATTGAGCCGCTTGCATATTTTGGAAAAGGACAGGTCCAATGTTTACACCTATAGTATGCATTAGGCCTTTTGCACATGCAATTAGAGGGCCCCAAGTCTTTTTGAGGCTCCCTTCGCAAAATTCTTGTTTGCAGCCAGCATTTGTGCCCAAAACCAGAAGGATAATGTTCCAACTCATTCTGCCACTCAGTTTCTGCCTATAACCAGTTTTCTCTTATGCCTATTTTAAGAGTTAAAGGAAATTTGGGCACTGGGAAACTTGGTTGGTTATCATTTTTATATCTGGAGCCTGACCGCAGTCAGATTAACAAGAATACTTTGTCCAGATCCACCATCCGCCACAAATATGCTATTCATTATATTCACATCTGTAACACTATGAAAAATCAACCTTTAATAGCTGTGTTAGCATCAATTCCATACTGTATAGAAGATCTTACTTCTTTTGAATTTATCTGCCTTAGTCTATTTCTGCTGTTCAGTCCACATAAACCCCAATTACTATGTTAACATGAAGGAGCAAGCTCTCTGCAAATGCAGTTCAGGTTAATTCTGTTGTAATCTTCAGTATGAACTTATGCCCTTTATTAGCTTTTTTGTTGCTTTTCAAATGACCTGGAAGATTCTGGAATCCTCTGATTTTGTGATTGACAGATAAATCGCTAGATGTTTGCTAGGCATTTTTCTATTACGTAGCAAATATTCTGTCGTCATCAAATCCAATCTGTTCAGCTCTGCAGCAATCAATGAACATGCCTTCAATAATCAATCTTTGTTTAGCAAAGTATGAAATGGCAAAGTGAAAGGGCAGGGTTTGGTGCTGACATGGAGACAGGAATGGAGGCAGATAGGTGTGGAATTTCCTTATATTGATCAGTATCTCAATTCCATACTATGGTCCTGATTCCTGGTCCATTTTCCTGGAGGTCGAGTCAATCCAAGACTAGTCCACAAGCAAAGAACATCTTGTTAATGCAATTAAAGTCATAAGAAGCAGTGGCTCCCAGTACCTCAGATTGAAAATCCTGCTTGATATGTCATTTGTCATATGTCAGCATCATTCTATAATTAAATTATCAGGAAAAGCTAAGTCTTTAAAGTGTTTTAGGCAAAATCTCCTCTTTTATTCTCTGATTTCTGCTTGTTCCTTCAATTAGAGAAGATAGTCAGGGTTGGCTAGATTGCAGTGAGTCCTGCATAACAAAATGAAATATTCAGCACTTTTTTTAAAAACAAGCGTGAGGGATATGCAGCAATCTGTCACCTAATTACTGTGAAATGGAACAGAAGTAAAACTTCCTCTTACATGTCAGGTGATTGTAGAATTTTGACACATCCTGCATACAGTAATTTGTCTTCCTTTGGTATAAGAATGCGTAGTCCTTCTTTGAGATCTTCTTTACTGATGGTACAGCATTGAGGGACTGAGAGACAACAAAAACAAGCAATATTGTTTTTAAGATCATTTTTTTAGATGCAATGTGTAAAATCAACTATGGTAGAGCCTTTAATTCACTGGAATGTCTTGGTACACAGCTATCCTTATTAGATTTATTTGCTTCAGTGTTGTCATAGAGTCATACAGCATAGAAACAGAACCTTTCGTCCAATGCATCCACACTGACCATGTTACTAAACTAAATTACTCCCACTTGCCTGCATTTGGCCAATATCCCTCCAAACTCTTCCTTTTCGTGTACTTATCCAAATGTCTTTTAAACGTTGCAACTGTACCTGCATCCACCACTTCCTCCAGCTGTTCATTCCATGCACAAACCATTCTCTGTGTAAAAAAAGTTGCCCCTCAAGTCTTTTTTAAAAACTTTCTCCTCTCACCTCAAAAATATGCCCCTTAGACTTGAACTCCCCACCCTAGGGAAAAGACCCTTGCTATTCACCTTATCTATGCCCCCTAGGATTTTATAAACATCTATAAAGTCACCCCTCAACCTCCTATGCTCCAGTGAAAAAAGTCCCAACCTATCCAGCCAATTTTTATAGCTCAAACCCTCCATTCCAGGCAACATCCTGGTAAATCTTTTCTGAACCCTCTCCGATTTAATAATATCCTTCCTATAGTAGGGTGACCAGAACTGCACACTCCAGAAGAGGCCTCACCAATGTCCCGTAAAACCTCAACATGACGCTTCAACTCCTATATTCAAAGGTCTGAGCAATAGAGATTAGCATGCTAAACACTTTCTTAACCACTCTGTCTGCCTGTGATGCAAATTTCAAAGAATTATGTAGCTGAGTCCATAGGTCTCTCTGTTCTACCCAGGGCCTGACCATTAGTTGTATAAGAACTGCCCTGGTATGTTTTACTAAAATGCAATACCTTGCATTTATCCAAATTAAACTCCATCTGCCACTCCTCAACCCATTGACTAATTGATCAAAATCTCTTTGTAATCTTAGCTAACTTTCTTCACTGTATACTATACCAGCAATTTTGGTGTCATCCGCAAGTTTACTAACTATGCCTCCTATATTCTCATCAAAATCACTTATATTAATGACAAACAAAATGTACCCAGCACTGATCCCTGTGGAACATCGTTAGTCACAGGCCTCCAGTCTGAAAATCAACCCTCCACTACCACCCTGTGTTTCCTATCGTCAACTTAATTTTGTATTCAATTGGCAAGCTCACCCTGAATCCCACATGATTTAACTTTACTAATTAGTCTACCATGTGAAACCTTGTCAAAGGCTTTACTAAAATCCATGTAAACAATGTCTACTGATCAGCCTGCATCAGTCTCTTTGGTTACTTCCTCAAAAAACTTAATCAAGTTTGTAAGACACAAATTTCCTTGTAGAAAACCGAGCTGACTATCCCTAATTAGTCCTTACCTCTCCAAATGCATGTAAATCATGTCTTTCAGATTGACCTCCAACAACTTACTGACCATCGATGTCAGGCTCACAGGCCTATAGTTCCCAGGCTTCTCCTTACAGCCTTTCTTAATTAAAGACACATTATTAACCACCTTCCAGTCCTCTAGCACCACACCTGTGGTTATAGATTATACAAATATTTCTGCTAGTGGCCCTGCAATTTCTTCCCTAATTTCCTACAAAATCCTGGGATACACTTGATCGGGTCCTGGAGGTGTATCCACCCTTATGTTTCCTAAGACCTCCAGCACTTTGTCTTCTGTAACGTGAACAGTTTTCAAAACATCAATTTTTATTCACCCGAGTTCTCCAGACTCCGTTTCTTTCTCCAAAGTCAAAACTGATGCAAAATATTCCTGATTTCATACACAGAATGATCAATAACTGCATTATTTCAGTTCTCAACATATTTTTAAAATGAAAATTATGTCAAAAGCAAACAGAGGCTCCCAAAATTGAGACAAGGCCAGTGTGGTTTGACTTGCTCTTTGCAGGAGACATTGTTGAAAGTTCAAGGAAACATTTGTTACTTGTACTTCCAATAATGTAAATGTTTATTTTTGTCCATGTTTCAGCATTTTGAACTTACAGACATAATTTAGAGTAAACCTTCACTGGGGCAATGTTTAGAAATCTGATTTAATAAAGTACAAATTACGTCACACACAACAGGGTTCTGGAAATGTCCAGGAACAGAAGTGGGGTTAACTTGAGTCAACATGTTGTAAGAAACAGAGCAAGTAAAATGAAGAAAAAGTGCCTTAATAGCTTTTAGTGAAACATAGAATCTGCAAAATACATGGAACCTGCAATCAATTGTCCCTTTAAGTGGCAGTCTCTAGTGTTCTGTTGTGTGATTAGTTTGACCTTTTAACTAAAATCCCCTAAGTTGCACTAGTGTCAGAATGTTGCTATCTTTCTACAGAAGGTCCTTTGCTTCCTGATATAAACAGAATCAAACATCCAGAGACCTGTAAAATGTTTGAAACTTTCCACTTAACCAAGTTTTTAAAAGGAAGCAGTCAGATTAATCTCACCAATAGGCATCCAGTTTATACTGAACTGTTGACTTACAACTTGCTCAGTCCTAATTTTGTTTGCTTGTTATGCAGAACTCAGCAATGATTTAAAAAAAAACTCCTACCACACAATTCCGCTGAGCAGCTCACAGATGCATTTTCATCTTCCTCAGAAAAGCTGCTGTCTTCATCAAATGCAAAATCATCCTCTGCAGCAAAGCTTTCCAATAGTTTACTGACAGCTCGTCCCGTTGACTGTGTGAAAGAAGAACAAAGCACATTTAAATGTACACTTAAATTGATCGTTCCTTTCACTGTGTGGGTGTAATATTACAAGAGTGAAAATTATTACTGACAATGTCAAAGTGAAAGGTATTGCATTAAGAGTGCACCTGCCTTTGTCCTAATTTGCACCAAGTCCTGTTCACCCAGCACACCTCTGTTTGTTGACTTATATTGGCACCCAATCCAGTAAAGCATTGGTTTTGCAATTCTTACACCTTGATTTCAAATCTTTCCGTGCCCTCGCTCCCCCATCTGTAACTAAATTCAGCCCTACAATCCTACAAGATTTCTGCCCTACTCAAGTCATGGCTTCTTTAATGATTAGGGCCCGGCAATGGCACATCTGGAGGACAAGATCACACGTACATTTTGGTGATTTGGGACCCACTGGCCAATTCCTCTCAATATTCATAGAAAACATGTTAATGGCATTAATATCAAAGCTAACACAACATCAGTTGGCTAAGGTTTCCCTCAAGTTAGCATTTTCTGGCAGCTCCTGCAACTGTGTAGGCTCCAGGGACATAGGCATTCTTCTTTCCCCTGGAGGTCAAGAGTGGGGAATGGATTCTTGGTAAGTACACACTCTTTAAAAGCCACACTTACAATACCCTGCTGTCAAAGACAAAGTGCTGAAACCTCCATTACATGGTGCAGGCTGTGCACTGAGAAACTGGTCGACATTCTCAACTGTGTAACCAATAGCAACTTTTTGCATTTGATTTTCCTGTGGCTGTCATCTGATGGAGGCACAGTCAACATTCTATGTACCTACATACTACCTCTGTAAGTCTGTATTACAAACAAACAGCAATTCTACGATACCCTAGGTAAAGCTCTGAAGAACATTCCAAATGGTAGAAGGCCATTCATCCTGGGTGACTTCAGTGCACGTGTTGGGGCAATTAGTGATTGATGGTCAATGTGCCCCAGTCTTCAACGGGGTAGGCAGAGTCCATTTAGGGTACAAAGCCCAAAAAGTCATTGTCCGTTATCACTGACCTTGCCCATCATTTTCTCCATATGCCAGCTAGAGTAGAGTTGTAAGGAACAGGGTATACCTCCCTATACTTTCATAGATCTCACTAAGGCATTCAACACCATCAGAGATGCCGAGCCCACAAGATTTTGGGGATAATTAGCTGCCCACCAAAGTGCCTCAGACTAATCCATTCCTCCATGGTAACATGCACTGCACTGCACAGTTTGAGGTTCCACTTCCGACAGTGTGAAAGTGAAGAGTGGAAAGGGTATGTCATTGTCCCCAGTCTGTTAGGCATCTTCTTCTTCTTTTGCCTGACCTTTGCCTTCCCTGTAGATATGGAAGGAGTTAACTTGCTTATTAGGTCAGACAGCAGGCTCTGCAATCTGTCCAGACTGAAAGTAAAGACAAAAAGCACATCACATCCTATGAGATAACTCCTCCACACTGAAGATGCTATATTTGTCATCCACATGGAAATTCAGTCCCAGACTCATGGACTGTCTCTCTCATGCATGTAAATTGCTCCCTCTGAATTTAAACGTCAAGAAAACTTTGGTCATGGGACAAAGATTTTGCATCTCCATCCCAACTACATAAAATAACAGCCCACTGGAAGTGGTTAGCGAATACTGCTCCCTTGGTGAAGAGAATCTGCCCCCTGAAGCAAAGGTCGATAAGTGCAGAGGGAAAGCCTCTATCCCTTTGGCTGGTCCACAAACATGCATGCCCCAGGTTTATCAGGTTCCCAGTGTGTTGTTGTGTGGTTCTGAAATATGTGTAACCCACAACTTGCAAGGAAAGCAGCTCAACAATTTCCACTTTCACAGCCTGCAGTGTATTATGTGCTGATTCTGGCATCTCAAAGTCATGAATGTAATAGTCCTACACAAAGGCAGAACTCCCAAACTTGTTAGTGCTCTTCAAACAGAGGCAGCTTCAGGATTGGGCACGTCGTAGGATTGGGGATGGTACCCAGGGATTTTCTGTATGGTGAGGCAGCCAGAGCCAGGCAACCAAAAAGACACCCAAGGCTCCACTTTAAAGATGCTTGCGAGTGTGACTCCCATCGCTTATCGCTTCTGGGAGTTACTCATTGATGACAGAGGGAAATGGCAACATCTCTTGTGGACAGGCATGTACCTCCGCAATGACCAGTGGTTACAGTGGCTTGGCAATAGGCACCAAAGCCAAAGAAAAACTCCCCCAATGACATCAGGTAACTTTATGAGCAGTATTTGTGGCAAAGCCAGCCCCTCAATGATTGGTCTCTTCAGCTATTATCAAAAAAGTGTGCCACATCATCTGAGATGGTTTGTTTGTTGCGTATCCATCAAGTTTTATAGGTGGAAAGATGCTGACAATGAATAGTTTGGAGTACGGGGAACTGAAGATCTGACCTTAACTTTAAAGTTGTCAACAATGATTTCTCTTAACTGTCACAGATCAAGGTCTCATCTCCCCCCCTCCCGTTATTTTGTTCAGACAAGTATTTGCCTTTTCTCTTTAATACTGTAGATCATGTGCACAGGCCTCATCTCCGTACCCTAGATCACTCTGTCAGGGATTACACCGACCAAATCACCAAGGATTTGAATCTCTCCCGAAGGAAAAGATATACAGACAACACATTAAATTGGAGGATTTGAATTCTCCCTATTAGACAACATTAATGAACAGAATACTGTCAACTAGACTGTAAAGTGATTAAGGAGCTAGACAAGCAATTCCAAAATCAAAAACAATTTGCTATTTTTATTCTGTTATCTTGAAGCAAATTATGGGAATTGACTGCTGAGATAACTGGACTAATGCCACAATATGTGCAAAGGACACAAGAAAACTGGACAAGGTGTAGTTATTTGCAAACGTTAATCCCATTCCACACATTTCAGATTCTGCATCGAATTTTCAAAGCTGATCCTTACTAATGAGCATTTATTTCATGAAAGATTAATACATTTTCAGGAGTGGGTCCAGAATTGAAAAACTATCCTGACATCTAATATTCCCAGACATATTCTCTTTAAACACGTGCTTTTAAAACTATGCGGTGAACAAGCACTTCACTTTTTTAAAATAAATTTAAAAATTATCAATTTGAGGTGTTTTTCTCAGCATTGCATGCCAACCTTTAAAAGTTTTTGTTGATTTCAATTCAGTTCGGATCAATGAAATAGCTTGTTCAGAAACATGAAGAAGAACAATTTTCACTTTTTAGTAAGCAACTCTTTCCCCCTGTATTTATCATATTGTATTTAAAATATTTTATTTAAATAAATGGTGGCAGAAAAATGAACCAAACCCTATTTCCTGCGGGTATTCAGAATTAGTGATTCATTAACAGAGGCAGTTTGCAATTGTACAAAGATGCTGCCTCCTTCAACTCCTTACCTCTTTCACTGGCAGTTTGCTCTTTAGTTTGTTCAGTCTGTTCCGATTGTGGTCAGTGGGGTTCGCTCTTTTTTGAGAGAGGCACAGTCCACTTGATTTCTAACAAAGAGAAACAAAAGTGTTAAGTATCAGTACAGGAGAACTGGCTTCCAAGTGAAAGTTTCACTTATAGATGAGTTGTTTCAGAGTGAGACTAGGATGAGGATAGATTTTTGAGACAGACTTTACGTCAGTGCGAAAAATAATCCCTCTCCAGTTATGAGTTCCATCAGTGAACATACAGTAATTTTTGGACAATACCTAACTGATCCCTGCCCTGTTACTAAACGGAACACGGCAGTAATACAAAGACAAAACAGATCTCCTCACTCAAAGGAGTTAACAGACTGAAGTTGTTCTCTTAAGGCACATACCAATGTAGATGCTGTATTCTTCAAGTTAGTGTATGAACTAAATAAGCATTGTGACTACAAATGTAAATAGAAAATTGCAGTCCTGTGCATCTCTTTTCACATTACAGTCGACTGTTCCACAGCTGTGCTTTTGAATTGAATACTGACAAATTTCTAATTATATACGACTAGACTGCATCTGATCCTAATAAAGAGCTACAGAATGGACAAAAACAAGGAACATTCTTACGGCGTCCTAGGAAGGAAATGGTGACTTTGGAGAAATGAGCCTGAAGCCCTCCAATACTGGGGGGTTTCTCTTATGTCACATTGAGATCCACTGTCAAGTACCTGATAGAGACTGGCTGCCATGATTTGTTAAGTACCCAATTACTGTTATAGCAGGCAATGACCAGAACGCTGGAAGATATATCAGATGTTTCCAGCAGCAGTATTATTTGGATGGCAAGGCTTCCCATTTCTCCAGAGAGTTGACAATGAATATTATAGGTGGAGCACATTACAATGTATATTGTAATGTTACCCACCCCGCAACACTTGAAAGGCATTAATTAACTCAGGGCAAAACATCCACCCCCATCTGGGGGGAAAGACCTGCCTTAAAGAGCTGCTGACCAATCCGATTGTCCTCCAGCTCTGGGAGTGCTCACAGTGCCAGGTTTGAGTGTGGTCATTGCTGAGACTACAGGCTGTGCTAAAGAAGAGCTGCTAACAGGGGCCAGACTTTGATTAAATGCAGGGTATGCTTCATTGGAGCTTGGCTGCTCCAGTGAAGGGATTTCAGGGTAAAGAGGCCTGTTTTGACAGTACGAGTGCTGGCGGGATTAAAGGGTGGGGTGGGGGGGTGGGGGGGTGGTGGGGAGGTGGTGGGCTATGAGCAGGGAATCCCAAAAGGCTCCCTCACCCTGGACAAGCTCAACCAGTTAAAGACGCCAGACTACCCACTTAGAGAAGGCCTCTCTCTCTGCCACAGAAAATGGATGGGTAGGCAATGGTCAGAAAACATGCTGCATTTTAAACATGTCCCTGCCTTCAATTCTGTAAGGGGACAGCTGGGGGTGGGGGGGAGGCACAGAATCCATAAAATTCTTTCCTACATTTTTACCATAATTTGAATTGTAATCATGTACTATTTCTATACTGTCATTCAATTTTTCCCTCAGTACTCAAAGGATTACATTGACACCGGCATAATTTGGCTAGCGGTAGTTCATTTTTCCTACACTCCACAATTACCTCTTCAATCACTGAAAGTAGGACTTTGAGGGAATGGGGCTTAGGAGGTTTGCCATGTTGCATGTTAGTGTGTTTACTGAAGCACATGATGGAGTCAGTTTCGCTGATGACGGTGTGATCTGACTTGAAAGCCAAGCTGGTAAGTCTTTAAGCTACTCATATTTCTGATGGATTGCTGGGTCTTAATTTCTTGACTACAGCGATGTAAGGTGAGGGCCCAGCACCAGTGCAGCAACTAGTCCATGAAATTTCTAATTACAGCAAAATGAACAGCAAATACTACAAAGTCCATGGCAACTCTTTGAAAAGCCTCCTAATGTCAAACCCCAGACAGTGTTCACTATCCCTTGCAGCACTTGGAATAGGCTGGCTTTCTGCAATCTATCATGCTCACCAATTGAGATGTGCACTGAACTGATTTAAAGCTGCTGAGCTACAAAAAACAATTGTTTAAAAACTTATTCAACTCTGGAATAGTTGCCACTCATCAGAAAGTTGCCCGTTGAAGAGCTCAGCTTAAGTACCAAGCAGGGAACTTTGCTCTGTATCCTCGCTAAGAAACCACTGAGCTGCTTCACCTCTTCACTTTGCGCAGTAATAAAGATGCTCAGATGATCATCCAGCCCTGCACCTTGTTGTCTCGGATTCTCCAGCATCTGCAGTTCCTACTATCTCTCATGCACAGATGATATTCTGTTTATTTGGCAGGTAGGTGATCAGATCTCAATTCTATACTTTCACATTCTCTTTGGTCTACAGATGACCGATTCAATTCGGACTGCTAATTATTCAAGGGTGTAATTTTGTAACTTATTTATTTAAAATCAACATGTTACCAGTGAGCATGGAGCAAAGTTGACCACAAACATGCCAGCACATGATTCAGCTCAGGCACAGAGCAGCAGCAAGTTTTTTAAACAAGTAAATATTTTGAGAAATTGCTGAAAAATAAATTGCAGCCAACAAGAATTATGTCCACAGTCACGGATAAGACAGAAGCAGACAGACACGGAAGCCAGTCTTCCTTGCTGTAATAGGCTGCTACAAAGGACACAGTTATTATCACATCCAACAACAACAAGAAATGTATAAAATGGTCTCAAAGTATTTCATGTGGATGTCGAAACATAGAAAATAGGAGCACAGTAGGCCATTTGGCACTTCAAGTTTGCTACACCATTCAATATAATCATGGTTGATCATTCAACACAGTCGCTTTCTCCCCACACCCTTTGGTCCCTTCAATCCTAAACATTATATTTAACTTCTTCTTTCAATGTTTTGGCTTCAAATGCTTTCTGTTGCAAAGAATTCCACAGGCTCACCACTTTCTAAGTGAATTTCTCCTCATCTCAGTCCTAAATGGCTTACCTCTTATCTGTGACCTCTTTGACCGTGACCTCTGATTCTGGACTCCCTCCACCAAACTCCCCCCACCCTCAATTCCATTCATCAGGAGTATCCTTCCTGCATTTACTATGTTTGACCCTGTTAGGATTTTATAGGTTTGTATGGGATCCTCCCCCATCCTCCCCACTGCCCCCACTTATGCTTCTAAATTCCGGTTAATTTAGTCCTAAGCGATCCATAAAGGAAAACTGATGAATAAATGACAAATGGAGGCACAGGGAGAACAGACCAAAATCTTGGTCAAAGTGGGTGGAGTGGGAGGTGGAGAGGCAGAGTCATTCAGGAAGGCCTGTGGCCAGTGGGACCTCGGAGGCTGAAATCACAGCCTTTGGTGAGAGAAAGTGGAAGAAATTGTAAAATATTTTAACGTGTCTTAAAATCTACAGGGCCAATCTATCAGGATAGTGAGTTCGTTCTTGGATGGAACATTGGGGGTGAGGTGGGTCATGGTATGGTGGGGAGCGTGACCCACTTCAGGCTCCACACCACCGATACCACACTTCGAAACTGGCCTTTATTAATCTATAGCACGGAGATGTGGAAAGAGAGAACCACTGAAACTCTTGAGGTGCAGTTGTTTCATTTCTGTTGAATTGTGGGCAGTGTAGATTTAAGATTCTGGCAGTCTTCTCAGCACAGCAGACTGCTGTAGTAATACATAGTATCACACAGTAGCAGGTCTTGGGATCATGCCAGAGAGTTGCTGCACTGCTAGCCTCCGGTCATGGCTGAGCTATCACAACGAAACACAGAACTGAGGACTGCTGCTCAAACAGTGGAAGTCAGGGGAATTCAGAGCGAAATCTGTCCTGCTATTGTCGCATGTGAAATAAGAAGACTTAAAGTTTGGGGAGGGGAAGGAAGATGGAATCCAGAGCTGTGGTGTTTAAAAAGAAGAAGCGATGCTAAGTTGAATCTCTGCTGACATATTAACTAACTTATGGATTTATTTATCCTCAATGGGTGATTGATGCTGGTCAGTGATTGAGGTGCTTGTGGTGACAGAGTACTGCGCATCTCAGGAAAGGATCAAGCCTCAAAGAAACCCATCTTGCTGCGCAAAATGATTTCCTCTCATCTGACACCAAGAAACAATGCCAGCAGCTTGAGACTCGACTGTAGTTAATGGGTTCCAGTCTTTTCAGCTGAACATGGGCAACAAAGTGGCAGGGAAGCTGAAACTGGAAATATTAAAGGGACTTTAAACGCAAATTATTGGTAGCTATATCAGAACTGGGAAAAGGAGATTGCCACTTTGAAATGAAGATAAACGTGACTGAAACCTTTTGAAGTTAAACAAATTATCAGCAAAATTTTTGGAGTTAAATATTTGCGACTTCACAGCAGTTCAGGGGGAACGATGTAGGACTTTTTGTTTGGATTTGAAGGCAGCTACTTTTTCTAAACCTACCTTAAAAGTAGCTTGCAGGACTTTGCTTTTCCTGGTGACATTTTTACATCTGTTGGCAGAACCTTTCCTGGTCTGCCTTCTGGATACCAATTTTGCCGGTATAGAAGAATCACTAGGAAGTAATCTCCCATCATGCAGCAGGGGCCGCAGATCAGATTCAAAATGGCGCCAAATCGTCACCTCCGCTGGCCCCTTAGAGTTCTTCATCTTCTTATTCTTTTCCCCTGCTTTCAGTGCTTTCTTCTTTGTGGCTGGCAGCTTTTCGGTCTTTTTAACTGCATTGCTAGATTCCAGGCCATGCTTGGCCGGACGTTTTTTAATCTTCACATCTCCATCTGCGCTGGAAAATCCAAGAGTTCCTGAAAGCACAAAGAAGTGAAATTTACAATTCACACACTGGCCAATTCAAGAGGTAAAGCAGGAACTCATCAACTGCTATGATCCAAATCTGGCCCTCCCTGGTCATCAAACATGAGCAATGCCTCCAGTAACCTTTAATCATCCTGGCACTCAGCAGCAAAAACTTGAGGAGAATGACCACACACGTGCAAAGAGCTGTATATCATACTGGACTCAAGTTCTGAGAGAGTTCAATTATTACAGATACTTAGCTCAACTCTTTGAGCTTTCTGAAGACGATATGCAGGATGGGATGGGGGAATGAGTTGTTCTCGTAACAGTGGCATCTGTCAACAGTGACCACTCATGGCTACTACAGAATAAGTCTTTATTTGTAGGTGGTCCCTCTGCACAGCTGTGAAGTAAAATGAGATTTGAATAAATGAAATTCCTCTGCCATTATTTATCAGCAGCAGCAGCTCTTTGTAATATTCATTTGGAAGCGGTCCTGGGCCACGTGCCGATCATGCAAGTTTCCTATGGACATGTTTCTTTTTCCTAATAATAAAATCATAACTGGGAATGGAAATACGCACTTGTGGTTACATGTGGCAGGTGGTCCCCATTAACAGATTTTATTGCAAAGCACATTTATGAGGCTTTTGTTTGGAACTTTTACGGCTGTTTTTGACAGTTGGCTCTCATTTGAGGGTGGACGTAATACTTATTTGAATGGGCTACAAAAAATAAATTTAAAGGGGGAGACTCGCCTTCTGCCAAGCTTTTAAGAGTGAAAATGTGCACTCCGTTCATTTTGTCACTGATCTGATTAGGGAAGCAACTTTTTAAAAATTCATTCATGGGATATGAACATCACTAGCAAGGGTAGTACCTAACTGTCCATGTGATGAGCTGATCTCATGAACCACTGCAGTCCCAACTAACGTAATTGGCATTCCATCCACAACCTTAAATATTCACCCCCCCGCATCACTGGTCCACAGTGTCTAGCATCTACAACTTGCAGCATTTTGCCAAGTCTCCCCCAACAGCATGTTCCGAATCTGTGGCTTCCATTGCTTTGAAGGACATGAGCAGAAGACACTTGGGATAATCACCACCAGTAAGCAGAAGGACAGAGTTCCAGGAAATTAATCCAGCAACATTGACGAAATAGCAACATTATTCCAAGCCAAGCTGGCAAATGATTTGAAGGGGAACTTGCTGGTGGTGATTATCCCAAGTGTCTTCTGCTCATGTCCTTCAAGGTAATGGAAGCCTCAGATTTGGAACATGCTGTTGGGGGAGATTTGGCAAAATGCTGCAAGTTGTAGATGCTAGGCACTGCCGACCAGTGGTGCAGGGGGTGAATATTTAAGGTTGTGGATGGAATGCCAATCAAGCTGGCTGATTTATCCTGGATGGTGTCAGGCCTCTTGAGTGTTGTTGGGAGCTGTACCCATCTAGAAAAGTGGGAAGTATTCCATTACAATCCTGACTTGCGCTTTGCAGATGGTGGGTTGTCTTTGGGGAATCAGGAGGCGAGTGTCTCACTGCATACTTTCCAGTCTGCTCTTGTAACCTACTGCTGTCGATATGCTCTACCGTTATCTGGGTGGTTCTGGATGTCAGTCATTGCAAAGAGCATCTACAAAGGCCAGGAGAGAGCTCTGCACATCCCCCATCACCCCTGAGGCCAGGCAGACAAAGGAAAGGTGGGTACAGAAGAATTCCACAATATGCTCACAAATGAAATGATAAAAATCAAAATGTGAATGATCTCACACACACTTCAAGTCATGAACAACAACAGATTCAATAGATCAGTGCTTCATCCAATGACAAGGCCAGTGAGAAACACAGTTTTGCACATAGTCTGTCCCTCGATTAGTGATAGGAGATGTACACCAGGGAGAAATAATTCATAATCCTACAGGAGAAGGCAGAGGGGAGTAAAGCAATCTTACACAGCACAATATTTCTCAATTTCATCACCCAAGTGTTACACTCAAAATGCTGCCTACAGCACTTGGCGATGATGAAACCTGTACTATTTATTCATTGATTTATTTCATATTAAATGTACAATTATGTGAGCAATGGGAAGGTTAATGTCAAATTCAAGGGCACCATTTCAATATGTTTATTGATCCTGACTAAAGTCTTTACCATTTATGTTACTGAACTGGAATGGTCAAGCAATACCATGTATCTCACTTACCCAGGAGGCCTTGCCTTTCCTTCTTCTTCTTTGCTTTCTGATTGGCTTCCAGCTTCACAACAGAGGAAGGTGATGGACCAATGTCAGTTGCAGTGAGAGCTGTTGAGTATTCTGTGAGCAGCCCCGGGTTGGAATCTTTGATTGGCAGTTCAGTGATGGCATCACTGCCATCAGCACTGTTATAGTTGTTGTCGTCTTCACTCATGTCTGAAGCAGACAAAGATTGGGGAAAAAAATACAAGTTAGCCAAGAGGTTCGTGCAGGTGTCCATTCGATTATTCCTTAATACTTAAATCATTTGGACAAAATACAGTGTTGAAGGTGACGTTACTGCAGTAGTGTTTGTTTTGACAATGGGTCAAAGTGAAGACAAACTATTGGTTAAAAGTTCATCACTCTGCATTATCCTACAGTTGATTTTGGGTTTCAGATCATTTATCTCAAAACTGTCAATAAGACACACAATTCAAGGTTTCAGTTGTTCCTGTCTCCAGATTGGATTCTCTCATTTTGCAACAGTTTTGCCGTTGACTAAGACACACCTCACTGCAGTAGATATACAACATTATAGACTTGCTGAATGAGAGATATATTTGCTATCTCTTGCCTTGGATGTATCACTTAGGAAGAAAGGTTTAACATTTTCCATTTGGAAAGCAAGAATGTATTTATGCTGTTAAGAAACCTCTACTTTAACATAGAGTCATAGAGTTACACAGCAGGGAAACAGATCCTTCAGTCCAACTTGTACCTGCCGACCTGATATCATAAACTGATCTAGTCCCACTTGCCCACATTTGGCCCATGTCCCTCTAAACCCTTCCCATTCATGTACTCATCCAGGTGCCTTTTAAATATCGTAATTTTACCTCCCTCCACCACTTCCTCTGGCAGCTCATTCCATACACGCACCAACTTCTGCATGAAAAAATTGCCTCTCAGGTCCTATGCTCTCGGGTTTTGGACTCTCCTACCCTAGGAAAAAGACCTTGGCTGTTCACCCTAACTATGTCTCTCATGATTTTATAAACCTCTATAAGGTCACTCCTCAGTCTCTGATGCTCCAGGGAAAACAGCCCCAGTCTATTCAGCCTCTCCCTATAGCTTAAACTCTCCAACCCTGGCAACACTGTAAATCTTTTCTGAACCCTTTCAAGTTTCACAACATCCTTCCTATAGCAGGGAGACCAGAATTGAAAGCAGTATTCCAAAAATGGCCTCACCAATGTCCTGTACAGCCGCAACATGACCTCCCAACTTCTATACTCAATGCACTGACCAAGGTAAGTGTGCCAAATGCCTTCTCCATCACCCTGTCTAACTATGACTCCACTTTCAAGAAACAATGTATGTACACCCCTGGTCTCTTTGCTCAGCAACAATCCCCATTCCCCTACGATCAACTGTATACTTTCTGCCCTTTTTTTCAGGTTTGTTCAGTGCTGGAGCTGATTTCCTTGCTTTCTTGGAGCAGTAATTACTGTTTTTATAAGTTTTGCATAGTTTTTGAAACTTGAATAAAAAATCTTAGCCGGGAAAACAGTAGCCAGCCAACTGGCTTCTGAGTTCCTGTCACTGTTGCTAACCACAACAGCAACAAAGAGACACATGACTGGATAGAGATGAACTAATAGTTTCCCTCTTCATATTGAGGTTTTTTCACTCATTCTCAGTAACCTCTTGTTAGGGTCAAGCCGATATCTCGGACTCACTTGGAGATGTTAGCACTTCCAATGATGTAAACTTACTAAGCACTGACAAGTTAGTGGTACTCCAATGAAGAATTGTGCAAGGTCTCTGCATTAATCCATCAATGCCACTATAATACTGTTATAGAAAGGTCTCCTTTTTATTTCAAAAGCACATACTTTGAATTAGAGAAAAATCTTGAAAACTTGGAATCTATATTTATTACAGCAGGTAAGATTATGGGGAGACTGGTAGGGGTATAATGTGATGAAGGTACAGGGATGCAGTGTACGGAAACAGGCTGCTCACTGAGCATGACAGAACAAGTACATAAAATTAGATATGAGATTTAGGATGAAAGGCAAGACAATTTTCTGAATCAAGAGTTTTGAATCTGCACAATGCACAGCCAGAATTAATGAGTGGAGCAGATACCACACTTGAGTGTGCTTGCTGAACAAAAAGGAGGAATAAGGAATGATGTGGACCAGGTGGTCACACAGGATTAGGACTACTGCATGTGTAGAGATTAGATGTTAAGACTGAGTGGTTGAGCCACATGGTCTGTCTCCATGTTGTCATTTCTAAGTGGTTCCATGTGGTACTGTACCAGAAATCAGCTGACCAGCATCTGAAGAGAAGCCATCACTCTCTGTGGACATCCATTCCTTTTCAGTCACTAAGGCCTGAGTTTCCTGTTTCTGCTTCTTGTTGCTGGCTTTCTGCACTTTGACCCCAACAGCCCTTCTCTTCTGCTGAATTCCGGGTTTCTTTTTAATGTCAGAGTTTGTCTTCTGAGCTGCTTTACTTTTGGAAAAAGCAGTTTTACTAGTCGATAAACCATCTTCTTCTCCTGATTCCATTTTTGAGGCTGTAATTTAAAATAAAGTTGGCACCTTCAATTACCAGTTCAGTACTATGTTAGAAAGCTCGCATTCACTTACACTTTCTGCCTTACAAGACCTACTTTTAGTCAGACTTTCGTGCAAACATTTTCATTATAACTTCTTATGTGCTTATCGACAGAGGACACTGCTTAGTCAATCCTGTCTCACTGATGTTAGGTTCTCTCATGAGTCATGCCTTAGTTTTCTCTATGTCTCACACTCCCCTGTCTCCACTGCAAGGATGCTCCTTTGTTCCAACTTGCTCTACTGCTCAATATGTCTGTCAAGCTTTCTATGCAACTGTGAGGAACAGAAAATCAAAAATATTACAAACCGAATTAGGGGCTCAATGTTTGATTTTTAAAATGGGCATTAAAATCTATTTGCTTGCTCTAATCCAGGCACCCCACCCTCAAACCAGAGGACTGCTTCTTCCCCAGTGTGTGCAACATCACAGGAGACTGCCGAATAAAATTGAATACTTTACAAATCTACACCTTTAGGCAGTGATACCTGATAAACAATCAGCCTATGCCAGAGATTCGTAACAGGTAGAATTCTTGTATAAACGTCTAAATTCCCATTGGGTAAATTCCACAGTCAGTAGAAAAAAGTAACATGGCTACAAATATGCTGAGGAAAGTCTTACTGAACTGATAGTAGTACATCCAAGCTTTAGGGAAAGCAAGTCCCATACTCGAGAGGTCAGTGGTGCCCTCTGTTGGGACTGCAAATAGCCCTGAAGAGACACTCCATGGTATCCAGACTTCCCGGTGAGTTTGGGAGGGATGGCGGACACTGAAGTGGGGGAGGGGAGCATCAGACACCAGAGGCCATGTGAGTTGGCATAAAGATGTAGACGGATAGTATCATTTTGAAGGAGTGTAGTGCCCCCAATGGATACAGGACATCTCCCAAAGGAGGTCACTCACTTCATTCAGGTCTTTTAGCTGAAGGCTGAGGAAAAGTTGCCTCGCCTCCCTTGTTCCGTCTTCCTCAACTGCATGGATTATTATGACAGGCAGAAACAGGCCTTCAGCTGGCTATTTATTGGCGACTGCTGCCTTATTCACCTCCTCTCTGGCTTCATGAAACCCAAATTGTGGGGAACAGCTTGGGGTATAGCTGAGGGGTGGGCAGGAGGTGGGGTAGCCAACTCTTCAATTTTACGTGCCCTACCCTCCACCCCGAGCCTGGAAATTTGCTAGACAGGCTGTTGGGAAACTCACTTATGTTTCCAAAGGTAGCCTAAGTTCTTCAGCATCTATAAAAAATGTGTGCATAGGTGACCTAGATATAAAATTAAGCTCCTGCCATCTGTACATTTGCTCGAGAATGAATGCTTCAAAGTCATACAATTATTGCAGCATGTGGATTTGGGACAAGACCCATATAAATAGTTTGTGATCAAAATAATTTCAAAGTAGCAATAAGGACACAACATTGGCCAATGACCAGTTTGTTGCATTTGTTTGAAGGTCAGCCTTTTTGGTATTAATACCTATGTAGGACAATAGAGGTAGGCAGGAAAAAAGACATTTATCCCAATAAGCTTATTACAATTTTAAAAAAGTATGTGGAAGAGGGAAAGAATGGATGCTTTCTTACTTTTTTCCCTTTCTTCCATTTCAGTACAAATGCTATTCATTCCTCCAGTCCTAACAAAGGATTGCACTCAGAATTATTTACTTGCCTGTTCTCAAAGATTCTGATGGACCTGTTATGCATTTCTACCATTTTTGTCTCAGGTTTTCAACATTTTTTTCATATCATGAAGTGAGTGAACGTGGTTATGATGACTTGTGGACACCTTTGCTTTGCTAAAGCTCAGAACCTAATTCCAAATCTTCCAAAAGTGCACTTACCCTTTTCAGAAGTTGCTGTACTGTGCTTGGCTCTCTCTTGGCTGTGTGGGATTGAGGCAGTCTTTGCTTTTCCCAATTGTTTCTGAATCTTGCCAGGCAGGGCTGATGTTTTCCCCCTAAAATGGCTGCTGTTGGCCGATTTCAGGATGGCTGTTGTGTGTGATTTATTTGCAGCCTTACCCAGTACCTTTTGCTTTGGCCTTGAGTTGTACTTTCCCAACTTAGATGTGAGATTGGTTTGAGGACTGTCCTTTTTCGCTTTTGGTTTAATCTAAAAGAAATCCACGATACATGTGAGATTAAAAGATGCCAGCAATTTTTTTCAGATTGGTGCCTATTGCCATTGTTTAATTATTACAACACTACAGTATATCTCGTACCGATATTCCAAGTCACTAACAGTACCTCAGCTAATTAGCTCCTTCCCAAAACTGTAATGTAAACAGTTTGAAAGGCTAACCCTATTAAAATTATACTTCCTTTCTGATCTGCCTGAATGTTGCTATCAAATGAACTGCCACTGCACTGCTCATCAATATGATTTTCCATGGATTTGATGCCCATTAGGTTAGGACAGGCTTGATGGACCTATTGGTCTTTTCCTGCATCTCAATATCAAATGCTCTCGATAACTTTCTGATATAAGTGAGATGGAGGTCAAAAGATATGCAAGCATACAAATTTGGAACAGAAGTAGCTTTCTGAAACCATTTTGTGATTTTTTTAATGATTGCTGTATTTGCTGATGACACAGATATGGGTGAAAAATGAAATTGTGCGGAGGATATAAAGTGGTTACAAAGAGATATAGATATGACAAGACAATTGGACAAAGGTCCTTCCTACTTTCTGTATATTCTTCAAGGAATTTATCAGATTTTAGTTGCCTAGACCTTAGGAATGCTTCCTTTTTTTTTGACTAAGCGATAATTTCCCCTGTCATCCAAGGTTCCTGAATCCTGCCATTCCTGTCCTTCATTTTCACAGGAACATGTCTGTCCTGCACTCTAATCAACTGGCATTTAAAGGACTCCCACATGTCAGATGTGGATTTACCCTCAAACAGTCACTCCAAATCCACAATCTCGAATTCTTGCCTAATTTGATTATAATTGATCCTCCCCCAATTTAATACCTTCATCCGAGGTCCACTCTTTTCCTTATCCATAAGTTTCCGAAAACTTACGGAATTATGGTCACCATTCCCAAAATGCTCCCCCACTGAAACTTTGATCACTTGGCCGGGCTCATTTCCCAATATCAGATCCAGTATAGCCCCCTTCCTTGTTGGACTATCCACATAATGTTTCAAAAAACCTTCCTTGACACACTTAACAAATTGTTCCCCAGCCAAACCCCTGGCACTAAGGGAGTCTCAGTCAATATGGCAGAAGTTAAAATCACCCATGACAACAACCCTGTTATTTTCACACCTTTCCAGAATCTGACTACATATCTCTTCTTCTATCTCCTGTTGGCAGCTGGGAGGTCTGTAATACAATCCCAGTGTTATGACTGCACCCTTCCTATTCCTGAGCTCTACCCATAATGCCTCGCTGCAAGATCCCTCCTGGGTGTCCTCCCTCAATACAGCTGTGAAATGCTTCCTAACCAGTAATGCAACTCCCCCATGTCTTTAGCTTCCTCCTCTGTCTTGTCTAAAACATCAATATCCCAGAACATTAAGCTGCCAGTCCTGTCCCTCTTTCAACCATGTCTCTGTCATAGCAACAACCTCATAACTGTATGCATTAATCCAGGCTCTAAGTTCATCCATCTTACCTGTTATACTCCTTGCATACAGTCCAAACCTCCAGTTCTGCTGAGCTCATCAACCTCTCCCTGACTGCTCTTCCTCTTAGCTATGTTTGCCTTAATCTCAAGCTCCTCGCCAGACTCGATACTTACTGATCTGCTGCTCCAGTTCCCACCGCCCAACACACTAGCTTCCACCCTCCTGAGTGGCACTATCAAACCTCCTTGCCAGTATATGTGTTTTACTTCAGTGCCATATAATAGATTTGATTATCCCAACATAAATTTGAGGATTGAAGGATGGCATGGTTAGCACTGCTGCCTCACAGCGCCAGGGACCCGGGTTCAATCCCACCCTTGGGTAACTGTCTGTGTGGAGTTTGCACATTCTCTCCACATCTGCGTGGGTTTCCTCTGGGTGCTCTGGTTTCCTCCCACAGTCCAAAGACGTGCAGGCTATATGGATTGGCCACACTAAATTACCCTGTAGTGTCCAGGGATGTGTAGATGAGGTGGGTTATAAGGGGATGGGTCTGGGCAGGATGCTTGGAGGGTTGGTGTGGACTTGTTGGGCCAAAAGGCCTGTTTCCACACTGTAGGGATTCTATGATTTATATAAATGGTATGGCATAGCCTGGGAATCTTTTGATGACCCATGATTGTATATTCCTGAATGAACAATGAGAAATGATTACATTTTTTTCTTCTCAGTCTAGTCTTTCAAATTTCCAAAGGACTGTTTTAGACAGACCAATGGACAGAAATGAAAAATAGCTCTGTCCTTGTCCTTCACCCTGATCACCTGTCTGTTACAATTCACACTGGCTACACTGTGTTGTTACCACAACAGCGTTTGTCCTTTACATTTACTACAGCTATAGAGTATCCCTGAACCCTGTCAGACACACTCTGTTCAATGTGCCTTCCAGAGCTCAGAACGGTAAATGGTGTCTTTAAAGCTGAAGTTTGTTAATGAATTTGAAAATGAAAACAGTATATTGAAGCAAACTGTGTGAGGAAATTTTAGTGTCCAACTTTTGAAAGATCTCAGACTCAGTATTGTAATTTTTCCTAAAATCCAGCAAATCTTACAGTCACTGAAATATTTTTTCCTCTAATATCCTATGAAATCCTGTGAAAGGGTCAACTTGTGAAGGAATTTGAGTCATACATTCATTTAGTACCCCCAGGTGCTTTACTTTTGATGTAGCATCACTGTTGTGAGATGGAAGTTAGCAGGTGTGTTGTTCACTGTCCAATATTTTGCCCATGTGGCTATTTATGCAATATGCACTATAGCAAAGACCATTGGTAGGCATGATGATTGTGGAAGTGAAGTGGCTGATGAAAGTGGAGGTGGGGGAGCAGAACCAAGCCTAATCTGCTCCTCACTCAATGTTAAGAAGCATGTTCTTTCCAAAAGGAGTTGAGGATTAATTATGAGTGAATTCACTAGCTGGTTTCTCCCTTCCAAATGAGGACGCTGAATGTTTTGAAGGTACCTCTATTTCCAGGTACAAGCTGAAGCCAGGAGAAAGTGGGGAAAGAAGTTGGAGGAATGTTGCTTGGCAACGTGGTTCAGTTCTATACATGACCTTTCCTTTATGAACTGAGCCATCAAAAGAGAACGGTCCAAGCATTAAACGCATTGTTTGTTACACAGTCAAGAATGATTTACTGACCTCTGACCCGGTCTTATTTCCACTGTACTCCTGTTCCTTGCTTTCCCTCCCAGGAAGTTTGCATTTTTTCTTCTTGGGCTCCCCTTCATTCCTCAGTTCCTCACAGAGGAGGCTTAGGCCTGTCCTGATGGATCTAGAAATAAACAAAAGAAAAGGCCGCCTTCAATACTCTGCATTATCCAAGGTGATTACTGTAACAAACACATCCTGACAGGGCCACTTGGTCTTGCTGAGCAAGACTCAGTTTAAAGTGGTAATCTCTGAATCACTAATTAAACTAGATTACCACTGGACCATTCACTGCTGCTTTCGAGCATTTCAATAAATAGGTTCCTACTCCGAGTCATTCAGCATTAAGTTTCTAATTGACCACTGGCACATTAACTCTGAGGAATTTTCCATTTTCCGAGAATTAGGTGCGTTTTCCATTGATTTCTTTCTCCCTTCCCTCGCACACCCGCCCCATTTCACAAAAGTACATTGATGGATATTAAAAGACAATGAGAAAAATGTGCAGAACAGATGGTAACGACTCCACTTTCCATACATTTCAATTCCCCGCCCCCCCCCCCTACCCTTACACTGAAGGAACATATTCAATTCAAGGTCAGATGAATTGTGATGACCAAAAAAATGCTCTCTAAGCATTTGCACTCACCTCTGCTCTCAAGTTAGTTCATGCACCAGGCACTATTAAATTACCATCCTGATGCATGTGTTGCAGTTTTCTTTGAAGCAGAAAGTGACAATGGGTCAGGGGAAATAACTAGGGCAACTTACACTAACACCTTTTACTGCGAATCTACTGTAAAATCCTTGTGTGCTGTGGATTCGGAGAGTAAATGATTTTAATCTGATGTTCGGATGTGGTGCAATCAGGAAGTCAAAGCTGACCTGTTTGTTCATCCTCTGTAAGGGTTTCCTCATACTGACAGCTTGTGAAGGATCCTCAGTGTTGCTGGTGGAATCTGAGATGTGCTGCTCTGCAGTGAAACCATAGCTGCATGATCTCATCTGGATTCGATCAGAACAATCTCATAGGATAGCAGCCAACACACAAAAAAAAAATTTACTATTTTTTTCAAGATTTGGGTAGGCAAGGTCAAGGAATTGAAATGTGACCTCTTGTTATTTTGATGTTCCGTTTCAACTTTCCATCTGTTTGCTATTTGGCTCATAATTTTGTTAAAACTCCTGTTCAATCGCATCTGCTTTTTGAGCACTTTTGTAGCAAGGTTAACACACAGATTGGAAATGTCAGTGATCGCACAGGAGTAGGAAAACAGTAAAGCAAATCTCGATCATTGGGTAATGGGGAGGGAGAGGCTTTACTGCTGGTTCTCCAGTATGTGGGCATTTCACCCTGGTCTACAACACCCAGAATACTATTGTTGTGAGTAAAACTAGTTATGCAGTCAATACTGTGTGCAAACACCAAGTGCACACCCATGTATTAAATCTCCAATCTACAGGCTCATGTTCTACCTACAGCTTGAAGAAATATACATCCTCTTGGACTCCAGAAATCTACATGAAATGGTTTGATTCAAAGTGAATCATGTCGACTTACAGCTGTCTAATTCAGGTAACAGTGGCAGCACTAGAAGTTCCTATTTTAGGTGACTGTGTATAAAATTAGCTCCTCTTTCAAAATATCCAACTTAATGCTTTCAGTAGCTGGTCCAAAGAACCAAATCATCATTTGTCAAAACTCTTATTCTACACATTTTGTGCTGATGCATAGCTGTGTTAATTTTCTGATGATGCATGTGTTTTTACATATCACCTAGGATATGGGACATGGAATCAGGGCATTTGGCCCAACCAGTCCATGTCGCAGTTTATGTTCTATTCAAATATCCTCCTATCTTGCTTCATCTGAATTTAAAACCATAACACTAATCCCCATCTCTCTGATATGCTTATTTAGTTTTCTTTTAATTACTTCTGTAACATTCACTTCAATTCCTTCCTGTGGTAACAAGTTCCATATTCTCACCACTCTTCAGGTAAAAACATTCTTCTGAATTGGTTTTCTTGGTACAGAGCTAATGTGATGGTAAACATTGTCTCTGTTACCACATTCAGAAAATCATCCATAATTTTGATAACCCTATAAGGCAACCTGTCTACCTTTTGTTATGAAATAAGAGACACAGCCCCCTTATCTTTGACAAGATGTATACCCACATGCCTTTCTGGTAGCTTCTTTGCAAATCTTCTGTCCGTCCTATCCAATGCCTTTATATCCTTATTGTTTTTTTTTAAATACAGCAACCACAACTGCAGAGTGTGGTCTAATCCAGGTACCATAAAGGGTAGGTAAAACATACCTTCTTTTCAATTCTATACCTCTAGAATTAAATCCTGGTGCTTGCCCTAGTTATTCTGCGGTCACTGGAGTCTTTGTACACCAAAATCCCCAGCTAGACTTCCACAGTGTCTGCAGTGTAATTCAAATCAAACTTAGGCCAATTGAATCAGATCAGCCTAAGCATGTAGTCTGTAAAAAAAAAATCAGGTGCCAATTGAGCTTTAAAATGTTATTGGTGTTTTCTTTAATTTAATATTTCTGTTGTCAACAAACAGCAATTTAATTTGCTGTCGTTTAGAAGCAAAGTTGAATGCTTCTTGGATGCTGGATAATAGAGCTTTGCATTTCACTTTCAACAACTAGAGGACAGTTTACAGCTGTCAGCATAATTTAGGCTGCCAATCCCACAAAATGGAACCACCACAGTGACCTATCTGTGGGAATAATTCCGTATGGATATTTGAGGAACAGACCCAAATACACAAGGAAGAAATCAGAATCAGCTCACCCACTTCGGGCAAGTCAAGCCGTCTTGTAAGTGGCAGATTTTCAATGCAAAGGGTTTTGATGTTCATAATGATATGATGTGGAAGGATTAATTATATTACACAGAACAGTTAGAAATCAGCACCGTTCATTATTTTAGACTCTCACTTGTTGCCAAAGAAACTAGCAAACTCCTTGATTCGAGGTTCAACTTTCTGAGCCCTTCTTTCCATCAACATCACCTACAACTCTTTAGGGCAAATTATTGCTTAATTGAATCCCAATTGGACCAACAAAAGCGAAACTGTCTCCATAATTTCAACTTTTATTTATTTAATTTAGTGCATGAGCAGCCTGTAATCTGATTCTGAATGGAATGGGTCATGATCCTGGGTTCAAATTGCACAGTCAGCATTGGTTCTGTTAGCAAATCTCACATGACTGCTCTTACACTGACCTTAAGGCCTGTTGCCCTTTCCTGACCTTATAGCCAAGTGGCACCAATGTCCTAAATTGTTCATGCATGACAGGGAAGGAGACCACTGTTCAATGACAGGAGCACTAATAGAATTCAACAGAATAAACTTTATGCGGTTCGCATAACAAAAACAGAAAGTCGAAGGGCTAAGAAAGTGCAGTGTAACCTTTGTATCTTGTCAAGTTCTATTTAGTCAAAATCAAGCTGTTAGCTTAAGAATAATCTTTCTGAAAGTCTCACTAGCTGAAAATAAATTCTAAATAGGCATATTGCTAAGTATACGACCGTGCCTCTTCTCAAAACAGCAACAAATTATACTAGAGAATAAAACCTAATTTGTTTCCAATATGTGTGTTTATTTGCAATATGCAACAAGAAACCTATGATGAACGTCATTTATATTGGATGTTTGGTCTGCACCGTGAGTAATGAGATGTTGAGTTGACCTAATTAGATGGATAGTTAAGTGAGGCATGGAGTAGTGAGAATGGGGACCGCTTATGAGTTGATTAAGCATTTTATGGACTAAGAAAATATCACTCATGACTAAAAAGTTGCATTCTATCCTTAACTGGAGCAGGTCTCCCAGAAATGGTTTGGATAAAAATCCTGGTGGACTTGAATGTTGATTTATCTAGCCAAGTGTACAACTCATTGCATAGATTACAGTGAATAAGATTCAGCTTTTCTGACAGTTTCCATCAAATTGCACTGTACACTTAAAGTAATGACATAAATCTGGTGAAATTACCCTGTGGTTTGTTTATATACATCAATTTTTTGAAGATGCTTAATTTTGGGACAAGCTAACACTGTTCCAACAGTTCCACTTCCTAAATAAAAACCGAAAGAACTGCAGATGCTGTAAATCAGGAACAAAAACAGAAGTTGCTGGAAAAGCTCAGCGGGTCTGGCAGCACCTGAGAAGCAAAAAATCCGAGTTAACGTTTCGGGTCCAGTGACCCTTCCTCTGAACCCCTCCTCAGAGTTGTGAGGAAGGGACCCGAAATGTTAACTCTGATTTTTTTCTTCTCGGATGTTGCCAGACCTGTTAAGCTTTTCCAGCAACTTCTGTTTTTATGCCATTTACTAATCTGCCATTGTTAACTGAAAGTAAAGTTCTTGCTTACATTAGAATATTTGCCAGAAGGTTTTGTCTGTGCAATTGGTATTTTAGAAATTTCAATTTTCTGCATTCCAGATATTAAAATGCCATAATTATTTTTACTAATTCTGCCTTTTCGAACCTTGTTTGGAAATTTGAAGAAATAGCAACTCAGCCAAGAATCAGAATGCTCCTTTCAAACAACTGGCATGTCAATAACGTTTTCAGTTTACTGTACAACTACAGTGTGATACAGTTCAACCATTCACACTGCCTTTGACTTCTGCAGTGTGTACTCCAAACGAGCTTAACTTTCAGTATTTGGCATCACACTTCATACTTTGGATTACATCATGCAAAGCTGTGCCAACAGTTGAATAGAGATGTTATCACTGTGTCACTACCAACTGAAATCAGATAGTTAAATGCTTAAAATTTTGGGCCCGAGCTTCATATCAGCTGATGCCAGCATCAAGCAACAGACTGATCATATTAATGTGAAGAATATTAAAACAAATGATTATAGATTATAATCCAAGATTATATTGGAGATTATATTCTCCAAGAAAGGAGAACTGAGATAAATGTATTCCTAAAAATGGAAGCGAAGGCAGAGACCATCAACTTCTCAGTTGATCTGTTGTTCTGAAGAAGTGTTACCGGACTTGAAACGTTAACTCTGACTTTCTCCACTGATGCTGCCAGACCAGCTGAGATTGTCCAGCAATTTCTGTTTTTGTAACTTCTCAG